CAATACCATATTTGGTGATGGTGCTGGTGTTGTTTCCTCAGTGTCTTGAACTGTAGTAGGTGGTGCTGGAGGGCTCCGGACAGTTGGTGCAGGTGCTGGTGCATGATGATGCCTATGTCTGTGCCTGTGCTTGTGCTTCCTTTTCTTGTGCATGCCAGGCGCTGGTGCAGGTGAGAGAACCAAATCTGGTGCTGGAGCTGGTGATGCGATAGGTGGCGGCGGTGGAGGTGCTGGCACTGGCGCTGGTGGTGGCGTAGGTGGTGGAATTGGTGGGGGTATCGTGGGTGAGGGAGCAGGTGCCTTTATTGCTGGGGCTGGTGTTGGTGGTGGCTGTTGGGAAGGTGCAGGGGATGACTGTGGTGGAGGTACAGCTGGTGGAAGTGCTGGCGGTGAAACCACTGGTGGTGGAAGTACAGCTGGTGGAAGTGCTGGTGGTGAAACCACTGGTGGTGGAGGTACAGCCGGTGGAAGTGCTGGTGGTGGAGATGGCAATGCTGGTGGCTGTGATGGACTCGCTACTGGATTTGTCAGAGGTTGTGATGGTGGGACTTGAGGTGGCTGATTAGTTGGGTTGGAAGTCGGTGCAGCTGTAGGTGGTGATGACATTATAGGGATGGTTGACGGAGTCACTGCACTTGAAGCAGGATGTGTTGCTGCTGCTGGTGTCGTAGTCGGTGGAGGGGTTGAGGACGGCATGCTAGTAGGTGAAGCTGCTGGTGCTTGGGCATTGGCAATGACAAACATAATGCAGAAGCAAGTTGAAACATAAAACCATGAAGACACTGCCATTTTGCAGAGGTAGATATGGTGAGAACAATTTGCACTTTTATATATATAACTCAGGATTTCAGAAATATTAGAAGCTTCAAAAAAGGTTCGTATTTTGTAAGAGGAAATGTAGTTTTCTTAGGAATGAAACATCTTTTCTACTTTTGCATCTTTGTCAATGGGGAAAGGTTACTCGCTGAGATCATACGTGGTGTACGCAGTATTGGACACACTACAAATGAGATGTCAAGTTCTTTTTCTTTCCTAATGTCATCTTCTAATCTTGTCCAGTACTCATCGTACCAAAAAAAGTCGAAAAGGCTTCAAAATTCTGAATCGTGGGACTCATCAAGCTTGGAATTCTTTTTCAGTCTTGTTCATCTGTTTCTATGACTCTATCAGACAACTCCCTGTTTAAGGTATGATGAAAAATTATGATATAGTACCCAGTAATCATTCTAGAATACTATTTAATAATCTTTATTCTACGTCTGCGCATTATATTAAACCACATTTAGATGATGTGGTTGGTTGAGAAATCCATACATGAATGAAGGTTTGAGGATTTTCCTTAAAAGCAAAGTTAATGCAGTCTCCTTAACATTGCTAAAAATAAATAATGGCTGAAAGTGTAAGGCCCATTAAGGGATCTTGATTTTACAATATAATTACATTTGCCAACCATGATTTCTTGAAGAAAATCTTAAATTGAGAAAAGAGACGAACTTCTAATGATCCACAGTCGATATGTATATGATAACGCAAAAATACGAAATTTACAAATCACCTTCTAAGCCTTGTGCTTATTTTACCATATTGCTAAGCTAAAGGTTAATGAGAAATGGTGTTTTCGTATTTTATGAACTTAAAAGAGGTTATCTTGTGTTTCTGAAAACTCTGGCTGGGCCTAATTTATGAACAAATTTTTATCACTTGTTTGAGCTCATTTTTCTATCAAAATACATTCTTAAACAGTTATTTGACCTTATTTCAAACATACATTCTTTAATAAAAGGCTTTGTTCTTTGGAAGATCTATCTCGTGTTTGGTATTGCATGGTTCCACTCTGCAAGAACTCGAACAAATATAGAA